GTTAACGCACTTTCAACAGGAAAAAAATCACTGCATACAACTCTTTTATACGATCTCGTAGAAGATCAAATCGACTCTCAGCACTTCTGATTTGTATCTACATGAAAGAGGACATACAAGTATATATATATGGTGCACACGATCATAAGGAATAGCCATCGGATAACTCGACAACGACAGCATTTGACCATCACAAAATTGAAGAATGGTTAAGAGATTTTGAAAATAATTTATCCGGAGAATCACTAATTGAAACCAATGTGTTAAGCCAAAATGTATCACCAGTTATTTTAGAACCTTTTGATAAATTAACTCCATTGATCAAACAACTTTTCAGTTTTAATGTAAGATCGTTAAGTGAGTACTGGAAAATGACCAATATGTGTGATAGAGTACGAGCAGTATTAAGGGAATTGAAAAATATTGTGATTCATGAAAAAAGGGTTGCAGAAAGTCATGATCGACTCAAGTCAGTTGACGACTTAGATTGCGTTATTGTTGAGAGTCAGTCCGGACAAATAGTGAATTTCGCAGAAGTTTTAGCAAAAACAGACAAAAAAGGTTTTTTTGAAAATGTTCCATTGACTAAAGAACGTATCGAATTTCGATACAGTGAATGGATGTCCGTTTCTAAGTCTAACAGATTAAAATCTGAGAAATACCATACTGAACTTAGTAAAAAAGTGTTAGATTGTATTGAGAATCAAAAAGACAAGTTGATGAAAATATTAAAAGAACGGGCTGATAGTTCTCGCTACTACGATTTGTATCGCAAAGAGGGCGATAGGTTGAGAGAAATAGCTATTGCATATAACTCCAGCATAGAGGGGGATAAGTATGTCGAAAACTTCGACAAGAAAGAATTGAAATCGTACAAAATGTGCTTTGCACTGGGTGCATATGAACAATATCGAGCTGCAACAAGGCTTTTGGGTAGGACGGGAAATGTACTAGAATAAAGTGAGTTAGTAAAATCCGTGGCTAATGTACGGTCTTTGGCTGATGACTATGAAACAGAAGCGGAATTATATTCTTTATCTGCCTTTTATCTTTTGCTATCAAACTGGAGGAATTCAAGCGGCGAACGTAAAAAACTAGAAATCTTAGTGGAATCTCAGTTAGCAGGAGATTTTCCGGAACAGCTGACGAGCGAAAACGTTTGTGATAAAGTAAAGAATATCATTATTAAGTAGTATAAGACAGAACGTATTAATGCTCTGCACGGTACTCAACCAGAAGATGCAAGACAGGATGCTACTGAAAACGAAGAAAATATGACGCTAAAGAACAATCATGGTGAAATCTCTCTTTTTAAATTTGTTCGACTACAAAGTAGTGTCTACGAACTTGGAATAGGAGTAAACGCTATAATAAAACAGTTTATTAAAGGTGCATCTAAGGCAGAATTGGAGTCAACGATAAGTGATGAAGTAGATAAGTACTATCTTGAAAAATAAAGAATAATTCAATAAAGACATTCAGAGCCTATGTGAAACTATATTACTGTACGTGACAAGGATGTCGGTCACTGTTTTTTGAATAACGTTTTCATTGTAAATTGAAAGACTTAACGATATCTTCCTATGCAAAAATGGGATTGAAGATATTTTCCGAGTTTGTAGGGATCTTTGGAAAACCAGATCCTGGCTGAAAAACTTTAGATAAAAATATTTTATTTTTGGCTCATGGATAAATAGTTCCAAGTGCCCTCTTTATAGCCGGAGTCATCCGGACCATTCATCTATCATGGCTTAGACATGATATTAAATTCCTGGTGAACCCCATGATTGGTGGCAACCTCAAACACATGGAACATATGTTACTGACTCCACTGAGTTTCGGGGCAATGTTTCTCTTCATTAAAAGCTGTAGCAACTATCGAAAACCTGATGTGAAATCACTCGCTTTGGGCTATTTTCATCCCAAAACTGAAGCGTCGTAACTCACTCAAAAACAGTCGACACCACTTTTGGATTTCAAAATGTACTCTATTTTAGCTGCTTTACACATTGATCAACTTTGCTTTACATATCTGTTTCAAAGTTCGGAATTGATAATATGTTAAGCAGGTTTCGCTCATTCTTGAAACCTTTGATTAAAACAAACATTGTCCCGAAACTTACTGGGATCAATAAGATATGTTCCATGTGTTTGAGATTGCCACAAGTCATCTCACACCAGTCATGAGGCCCACCAGGAATTTAATATCATGTCTAAGCCATGATAGATAACGGCCCGGATGATTCCGTGTGCATACGTCTAACCTAAATAAGAACACCCTAGTATCTCTTAATTCAAAACTGTTCTGTTTTGCGCGCACTGTTAGCACTTCAAGATTATTTTCACTCTTCGCTAGAGAAATTATTGTATTGTTACTCTACATTTTCACGCAAAATAAATTACAGATGCGTTTTTCACGCAAAACTGAATGCGATGCTGGGCTCTGGATCATAAAAAATATAAAAGTTCGCTGTCTGCTCACCTCACTCTTCACGCATTGCTTGCTTCTGCAAAAGGTGCACGATAAGTGATAGAAATATGATATCTAGACGTAAAAACACTTCGCAGGACTCTAGTATCAATATGAAGCTGAGCTGACATTTTATCGAACAATACCCGGAATTATTGACCTAAGCACGATGGGTCGAAGGACACTTAGCGACCCGATGGACTATCAGTTGGGCTAACTAAGTAACGTTTGCTATAAGCTCTAAAAATTTCACGCAGGAATTGGTTGAAGGCTTCAAAAGAGCTTGGTATAACCGAATCTCTCTTGCTTTCTAGTATGGTAACGTGTTTCTCTTAATTGTTTCTAGGATAATTCTGACTTCCATCAGATAATCTAAAAGCTAGAGATACGCTAAACATCCACAGTTGATGATTCATCTTTCCACTGTACCTCTATCTACGAAATCTAAAAAGTTACATGGCGGTTCATCAAACGGGAACTGAGAAACGGAAACAAAACTGCGACGTTATCCCATTTCTTTGAAGAATTGTTTAACAGCTTCAGCTTGCAAGCACCCATCTCGCCTCGATCGATCCGAATGTTCAAGATATATGATCCCACTCAGATGTATTAAAAAAATATGTTATAGTAGGCGAGCCGGTTACTAGCGTTCTTAAATTTATTATTAATGAACATCTCAAAGCTGGATTTAGCCAGAATCAAACAGCTAATTATGTGCTTCTTATTGGAGAAGTTCTATTACGAGAATATCTGAATTTAGGGGCACCATCTCATGTTCAGCTGGATGAACATTTTTTTCACAAGATTTTTGAAAGTAACTGTTTTGAAATACAAGCAGATGAATTAGGTAGTGCGAGAATTAAACCTTCTTCAGGTCTTCTAGAAGAATGTTGTAAGAAAGCACGGATAAATTACGCCTTAACAAAAATGATTGCTTCTGGTGTAAGCGGGATACAAGCGAGCTAAGACACTATTGTCGCTCTGAAGAAATCTCATCAGTTTTTAATTTTCGAAGATATACACGTGCAAGCGTTAGATGATCTACTGTTTACTTTTGGGTTTTTTTATGACTTATTATCATATGTTAGTTTGAGTCAAATACGGAATATTCGAGTAGATGAAGCTCTTATTGAAGCGTACGTGTGGTAGCCCAATGTTTCAACAAATTTTCGATGTGGTTTTAACAACAAAGAGGAAAAATATTTTATTGACGGTGGATAGGGAAAAACACATTTGCTCTGAGTCATATGCGTTACAATTCGTTGCGGATGAGATGACGGATATACTAGAAGAACCAACGAAAAATGCGCCATCTTCGATTTATTTGTCAATACGTGCTAACTGTCTTAATTTCAATAATGTGAAAAACTATATGAGAAATGGTCTTGTACTTCTACAGAGTGAAATTTCTGAAAAGTTTATGAAAATCGAAAGGCGTTTGCAGCTCGTCTTCATTTTATAACAACAAAAGTGAATGATAAGTTATCCACATTCGCTTTGTGTGAACCATTGTTAAACTATTTTCACAGACAGTTAGAATCAGTTAAAGATAATGATGTTGAACAACGGTCTGCTATTCTAAAGGAAATAGCAAACATTTATCGCACTCTGGCATTAATACTGAACAAATTCCATCGTTTAAATGCTTTACCTGAATGGAATAATGCATCTGACTATTACAAAGAAGTTCTCAAACTCTCGTCGAAAGATCAGGCAGCCAGATTGAGCTTTGTCAGATGTCTCTTGAGCTTTGATAAATATAAAAAAGCAGTGAAAGTATTAAAAATAACTGAGGATTGTGCCGAAAAAGTCTATTTACTTGAACTGGCCAAAGGAAATATGCGCTCATATCAAGATGCTAGAGAAAACGTTCAAAAAGCTATTGACAGTCATTTGAAAGCTCTAAACATCTCTGAAACTGATCAAACGGCATTATTGAACTTTGCCAGAGGCCTCTTAGAGTTTGGCAGATACCTCCAGTCAGCACTGACACTGGATTTTTTTGTTTTCGCTAATAAACAACAACAACAGTTTGGCAGATACAGAGCAGCAGTGGAAGTTTTAAAATGAACTGAGGATTGTACCGAAAAAGTCTATTTACTTGAACTGGCCAAAGGAAATATGCGCTCATATCAAGATGCTAGAGAAAACGTTCAAAAAGCGGTTGACAGTCATTTCAAAGCTATGTACTAATTAATATCATTCTGGTGCCTTTACTTTTATTTGCAAATCAACGGTTTATAGGAAATTGTGAAGTAATATGTCATTCGACAGAGATTTCCAAGCCCTACAAGCTCCTCTATTAGCCTTTTCAAAATGTTACCGATAAGCAAGCTTTTGTACTCGATTTTAACAAACGGGGTTTTTGCTATGAATTTCTTAACAGAGCGGCCATGGATGTTTTTTGAATAACTCGAGAACGAAAAGAGACAGAGAGTTCAATGAAGATCCGTATGACATCAACGAGTTAAGCGAAGAAAATGAGGAAGACATTTTTGACAACCAACACAAACAGGTAAGTGGAACAAGCCGTGTTAAAGATCAGAAGAAGACTATCTGTGTGGAAAAATAGAAAAAATTAGCTTTTTCAGATCGAGTTAGCAGAAAAGAGAAAAAATTTCTGCATTTTATGGACAAGGCTTTGCGTCATCTCACATAGATCTGATACTAAAAATCTCGGTTTTTTAGGTGGTATATCTGATGGATGAAAACTGATGAGGTTGCCAGATTCTGAACCTCCGGCGAAGTTTTAATTATAGCACGGTGACTAGACAGCCCAAAGTGTTCTCTACAATTCTGCGCCATGCCGATCTCTCTATCTGTTGTGAATTTTCAAATGGTAAGCATGTTCCTGAATCACCCATAATTGGTTACCATTTCGTCGGGTAAATGCCTGCCATTTGAGAACCCACAACAGATAGAGAGATCGATATTGCGTATAATTATAGAGAACACTTTGGACTATCTAGCCAGTATGTTATAATATTTAAAGTCAATCGTCCTCTTCAAACTGACATAGTTTGAGTGCACATATAAAATGTATGGAGCCTCTCCTTAACTGCAGTGTGTAACTCTTGCCAAAGATCCTGCAATAACGAAGTATGATGGAGTAAAAGTCTGGCTACAAAAATTTTGCGCAATAGTCAACTGCGGGGGATTAGGCTGTCTGTTTTTCAAAGTTAATGGGAAAATTTTGAAAAAAATTAAAGTCAAACTTTTTGAGTTTTAAATTTTAAATGAATTTAAGGGGAGACCTCTCTCCCCTTAAGGCTGCCCCCTCCCCATGAGTTTTTTTACAAGAAACTTTTCATTTTGAGCTGAATATAGGCTAATGTAGAGAAAAGTTTGAGCTATAAAGTGATCGGTACATGTCTACTTATTACCCAAATTCGGATATCTCAATCGGTCGTTATCTGGATAAAAGCTGAACTTATTATGACCAATATTTACTTAAAAAATTTGTAACAACACTTTATTAATCAAATATAGAAGAAAGAAGAGGTCAATTTCATACTGCAAATGTTCTGTTTTTCTGAGTATCGCATAATTAACTCGTTGATTTCTTCTTAGCTTAACGTTGGTAGTTAAGTTAATGATCAGTAGATGAAACAAATCCAGTATCGAAAAATAACTTGTGTACGAAACCAAGAAACTAGATTTGTTGAGATTTTTTTAAAGTATCTGATTGACAATTCCAGTTTGCAGAACCATCGTATGGCGTTAACTACCTGATTAGTGTTAAAAAAAAGGGCTTCTATGCTTTTCTAGTCTATTTACTCTTCCTCACTACCACCACCATAACTTTCGTTACAACATTTGCATACATATTTTTCACTTGACTTCTTATTTTCATCGCTGTTTTCTTGCTCTTGTTTTTCTTCACCTTGATTGTAAATTTCAGCTAATGTCATTCGTTCGCAGATATTCTCACTTGCATAACCTAGTTTTTCGGATAATATACGTGCATCTTGTATATCTAATTTATTGAATTCATGTGATGCAATTAGACGACCTTTACGTAACAATGCTTTATCAACCGATTTTAAATCACAATTAAATGTAGCAATGATTTGCTGATGCATGGCATCACCCAGCAGACCATCGGACAAGTTGAGAAGATTTGCCACCGCCTGATTAGATGTAAATGTTGTATCTTGACGATCTTTGATGATATTTTCAGCATCCTCAATAATCAATACTGCATTCTGATATTGTATGAGGAATGGTAAGAATTTAGGTGACGATAATTCGTTTGCCATATCAGGATATACCTATTCGCATATTACGTCAGGTTAGCTCTAGTTGAATAGTAGCCACGTGAAACTATTAAGTAGAAAATGAATAACCTAAAGGAACATATATTAATGTTTTGTCCTTGATTTCATGAATTAAATAGCGAATATAATGGGTTTTGCCAGAGCCGGGTATCCCATGTAACAGTACAATGCCCTTACCATCCTTCTTATTCAAATTTTTGATGATTTTTTCATGAACAGGCACAAATTGTTGTCCATAATTCAACGACATATCGGTAATAAGCGGTTTTTTAATCGTTATATTACGTAGATAATATCTATCTTGTTTAGTTTTGCATATCATGTGTAAAATGGTTGATTTCGATTTGTATAATGTCATTTTTGATATATTCGTAACTAGTATTCGAGCTTCTTCATCATGTTCAGGTAAATAAAAGATTTCAATACAGTCACAGACAAGAAAATGATCGTCAGAGTAATCAGCTTTATATTGGTGTGGATTATCACTATCAGTTGTCCATCGAATATCTTTTAACGTTACTGTCAAGCCGTTACCAGAATCAAGTAGACGCTGGCGAGTAAAATATGTCTTTGAACATGAATGATAACATCGTGCTATGAGATCATTGTCTAATTTTTCTTGATAATTTAGTTGTTGACATAGATGACTGATTACCGTTTGTACATGCTGTACTTCGTTGTCAGATACCAGTACAATCTTACATGGATATTGACGATATTTTGCCAAAAACAGACGAGTGCATGGAAAGGTACCAGGGTACGTACTTGGACAGAGTGGAAGCAATGATTTAGTGGATAGTTCTGAATGACGATAATTACCTACTGAGTTCAGCATTATAAAGTATGAAAGTAAAATAGTGAATGTACAAATATTTATATGCACATATATTACAGAACGTTGATGAAATATTTTTTTGTTGACAATAGATAATTCTCTATTTTTGTTTTAATGCTGTGATTCATGACAGAAATTATTTTCATTATTTGTATTGATTCGAGAGTACTTGACAAAGAAAATGAAATTTTTATAGAGCAAGCTAAATTACATATAATAGGCAATTCTTACACGTAGCAAATTATTATTCTCATTTTTATGCACTTAAAGTGCGTATGCGAGCACATTCTTTCAGTAACAAGTGAAAGAATACTATACTATTCTTCTGAAAAAATTTTGTTCAATAATAAGAAAACCTACACAGAACTGAAGTTATTTTCTTTCTTCTTTACTCCTTATACTTATTATTGAATCAATTAGAAACTCGACGATCAGAAGAACTGATCATCATATTGTACACGTTGTTGTTGTTCTCTTTCTTTCTCTTATTGCAAAATCTAATGTACACGAGACGGTTAAAAAATGTTAACAATTTTCACGCATTTAAATGAAACATTTAGTAAAGATAAAATAATTCTTCCTTCATGACGTCTTTCTCTATAAACTAAATTATTACGACTGACTTTTTAGATGGTAGTCAAACAAACTTTCATGAACAATGTTAAATCATTCATAATTAATTCACTTAGTTAACAGCAAAATTAATGAAATAGACATGACGATGACGTACTCATGATTATATGCGAGAATCATTTAACTATTCATCGTTAATATTTTGCAATTTTGTGCAAAGAAGAACACAAATCAATACTGTATTTACTAAAAGAGAAAAAAAAGGAACAAAAATAATGAATAAAATACTACCAACAACATGACGCACATTTACTAACTAAAGTGGAATAAACGAAAGAAAAGAAAAAAGCAGTCTTTTTTATACTCATATAGACGTTTTATACGTTCTTTCTGTATTTCTTTTCTCTTTTTTTGGTAAACACAGTACATTATTGTGTTCTTCTTCTTACAAAATTGCAAAATATTACTGATGTATGGTTAAATAATTCTCGAATATAATCATGAGTACACCATCACCACCGCCATTTCATCGCCTTTATTCTTCACCAAATGAATCGTCTATTTTACCATTTGATTATTTTACAAAATCTAATACTAGTGCAGATTTGATACTTGTTGTTGAAGATGTTAAATTTCGTTGTCATCGATTACTTTTATCATTAATCTCTCCAGTATTTACACGTATGTTCGACGGACAATTTAAAGAACATGAAGAACAAGAAATTATATTAAATGGAAAAAAATCATCGAGCATTCTTGAATTATTAACGTACATTTATCCTCAATTTTATAATTCTGTTAATTCAACAAATATTGAAGATTTTCTACAATTAGCAGATGAATATATGATCGATCATATTAAACAACCATGTCATGAATATTTAGATAAAGAATTAAAACAATATAAATATGTAATAATACCAATAAACAAAAAAATTCAACAAGTATGTTAAAAGAAATTTTCAATTTGATATTTCAGATTAATACTTAATTGACTTTCTTGGACATAGTTTGAATAAATTATTACTTAATATGTTTTTTTTACTGTTTATTTAGCCAACATTGTCATCTAAACAATTTCATGCTAGTGATTCATCATTGGATACTGATCGTAGTCATCATAGTTATGATCCTCGTACTCGTCCAATATCTTCTTCTCGTATATCTAGTTCTACTGGAAAGCCATTATCAAGTAAACATCTTCATCCGCCAAAATCTGATACACCGTCAAAATATTTCGTTACTGTCAATCAAACTGAAATTCCAAAATATTTGGATTCAAATTCTTCTCCACTCACATTTACCAACGATGAGATAAGATTATGGCTAAAACGTTTACAAGTTCTTTATACAATTGATAAATGTCGATATTTCGAGGGAATTATTGAACAAATTTTGTCTCTCTTACAATTTATTCCAAGTACAATAATATTACAACTATTCAAAATAACATCATTAACGGATGAACAATTATTAAACGATTTATTGCGTGCACGTCTATTTTTTCTTGAAGGATTTGATGGAACTGATGTGAAATGTTTAATACAATTACCAGATGCTTATCGTACATTTATAAAAATGACAACTGTTCAACAAAATGAAGATATTTCACCATCAAATGATCAACCGTTACCAGACCAAGAATATAACGCATTATTAAATATTACGCTAATAGCAGATGAAGAACAAAATATCACGTAAAAAGAACTTATTGTCGATTTTTACATTTTTATTTTTTTACTATTATTTAATAATCTTCTATTTTTCTTATGATTAATAATCTAAAGCGACTGTTGCATTTACTCAAAAAGAATCATGCTATGAAATAAAGAGTGTTTTTAAGTGCTTTGCATATGCAATGAAAACTTTGACACATCAACTATTTGAGTATGTGAAAAATAGTTCTGTTTTTCTATGAAGAAGAGATCATTAGTGGAGAAAAGAAAACGTTCTTTGTATCGTCTTATGGTAGAACACTGAATGGTATCAAATTTAAGAGAAGCTGAATCATCGAATAAAAGAACGGAATGGCTATTGACACCTACTGGAGGTGTCACGAAGGGCTATTGATACCACCAGGGCTGTCAGGAAAAGCTACTGACACCTTCAAATGGTATGTAGACTGTGCGAGAAGTGTATTTCATATAGTGGCATGAATGCACTTCACGTATAGGTGAACTTCGGTGAAATTCATTGGATAAAATTTCAAACATTTGATAAAGAGAATTTCTTCGGCCAAGTAGCAGGTACACAGATATTCGATCATATCACTTGTCTACGTGAATATTTATCTAACGTAGCGTAACGACATCATCGAGTATCTATGTAACTGCTTCTTGGCCGAAGAAATCCTCTTTATCAAATGAGTTATTTTAGTGTTTCAGTATGAATTTTGAGGTTTCATCCAATGAATTTCACCAAAGTTCACCTATATCTGAAGTGCATTCATGTCACTACATGAGATACACTTCTCGCACAGTCTATATACCATTTGAAGGTGTCAATAGCTTTTCCTGACAGCCCTGGTGGTGTCAATAGCCCTTAGTGACGCCTCCTGGTGCTGTCAGTAGATCCACCCATCAAGGAATACATCTGTAATTAGAAAGAACAGGGGCGATTATTTGATGGAATCGGCCCCTGCTTGAATTCCATCGACACATACATGGTTAGGTGTAGAATGAACAGGAGAACATTTCTAGCCACTCGGCAGACCTTAGAAATGCTCTCAGAAAAAATTGGGTCCAATTAACTGTAATCACTTCTGACACGTATTATTGATCATATTGGTCTCAGACCTCAGTA